GGAGGCACAATAAATGTTCCATTTAGAATTTTGGGTCCAGTGAATCAGACACCAGGGCCTGAGTTCTTTACTTGACTACTGGATCACCACCCTGAAAAACCTCTTACTTTATAGCACAGCTGGAAAGAATAGACTTTTATAGGTAGATGGAATCACATATTGCTCAACACTCCCTCTCATCAGGACACAGATATTCAGAAACTTAACCAACTTAACTACTATCCAGTAGTTGAAGAAAAAAAATTTAAAACCTAATTTGCTGTCCTTCCTGATATCCCTTCCACCAATTTGATCTCTTCCTTGCTCTATAGACTCCAACATCTTTCTTGCTATGTGATGATGATGATGATGATGATGATGATTGGTTTGGGTTTTGGTTTTTAGTTTTTTTTGATGTTGAAGGTCAAACCCAGGGCCTCACACATGCCAAATAAATGACCTTCCACTGAGCTATACCTCTATGCTGTGGTTATTTTGTGAAATCTCTCTATCCATAACACTTTATGCATATGCAATCTGAGGTCACTGACATGTTCTCATCTACAGTCTCACAGGTTTGTAGCTGCCATCCCACTTTCTCCATTTTTCATACTTCAGAGCCAAGCAAGGGCAAACTAAGTCTTATAAAAAGACTGTCACTACTTTCTAGTTTTGGGGCTAGTTAACTATTCATCTCACGTTGCTGATGAAGTTTGATTTCTTCCTTTGAGATTTCTAAGGAGGAATCACTCTGTCTGCTCTCTTCTGTATTCCTATGGGCTGGAAGATCAGGCTGGGCTCTAGGAAGGATAATTCAAAGCCTGAAAATCCCAGGTTTTTATGAATGAGATATGTGTATATGAGATGTATATGATGTCTTGGATTTACAAAAGTTTTCTTTTAAAGAAAACATGAGCTGTGTAGCCTTTCTTGCATTTCACTTGTCAAATACCTGAATAGCTGGAGTACTAGCAGCTACCTTGGAACATTAAAGAAACAAGTAGGAAATTAAATACATGGAAAAATATTGCATTGTTTCCTTGGCCCAGTTTCTTTTGCTATAACAAAACAAATTCAAGCCTGAGTATTTTAAAAAATAAAGGGAAGTCTAAGAGCATAGTAAAAACATCATCTCTGATCTGATGAGGGCCTTTGCTTATATAACAACATGGTGAATGACATCACAGCAGGAACAGGAAGGAAGAGGGACTTAGGAGCCATGCCTGCTCGTTTTACAGTAACTAACTTTCAAAGAAACTACTGGAGTCCTGTGAGAACCACATTAATCTCAAATCATGTCCAAATCATAGCAATTAGAAAAATAAAAAGGTCCAGGGCGGCAGACATTTGTGAAATCCTCATAACAGACTTGTGTTTCTTTAACATGAGGGAGAGTGATTTCAGAATTATTTAGGCATCTTTTAATTTAATTTTTTAATTTTATATATATATATATATATATATATATATATATATATATATATATCTGAACCATATTCCTAACTGAAACACATGGAACTTAATTAAAAGTATTCTTTCTGAATGGCTCTATTTGAAGGGTTCTGCTCAATGACAGACCATTAGGGGGATTTCTTTAAGTTCTAAGAAGTCAAAAAATTGCCTTTCTTACCAAGAGCTTCTGGACAGAAGAATTTTTTTAAAGCTATTAAGAAAAAACTATAAATAACTTTTATCTTTGTTTTTGTTTGTTTTGTTTTGTTTTTGGTACCAGGGACTGAACTCAGGGGCACTTGACCACTGAGCCACATCCCCCACCCTATTTTATTTAGAGACAAGATCTCACTTAGTTGCTTATCAGGTCACTTTTTGCTGAGGTAGTTTTGAACTCATGATCCTCCTGACTCAGCCTCCTGAGCCACTGGAATTACAGGCATATGACAACATGCCCGGCAATAACTTTTATCTTAATCCCTTTTGAAACTTAAGAGAGATTAGACAAATTCTTAGAAAAGTCTGCCAAAGACACTAAAAAAAAGTAGAAAACAAATTTATAGCTTCCAAATAAATTGAAATAGCAGTATAAAATTTTACTCAAATAATAATCATGTTTATATTATTTTAGGGATGTGAAACCTGAAGGAATTAAAAATTAACAAGCATTCAGGGAGTGGATAATTCTAATCTTACACAAACTATCAGTAGAGCCTAAAAAAAGAAGAAATTTCCCCAATACATTTCATGAATATATTATAAATTTGATATCAGAAGCATACAAGAAACTAAAAGTCTACATCAGTTACAAGTTTAGATGTGAGTGTCCCAAATAAGAACTTAATAAATCAAAATAGGCCTATGAAACCATGTGCCAAGGAGGCTCTAAATGGTCAAAATAAAATCATATTCCCTTTTCAACATAATCTCAGAAGTAACATCCATCCCTTTTGCCATGTTCTCTTTGTCAGAGTCTAGTCACTAGGCCCAGCCCACCCAAAGAGAATTAGATGAGAGTTTGAATGCCAGTGATGGGGATTATGGTGTGATGCTTTATGTTTGACAGTTTTGGGGGGAACTGTCAAGCTGTTTTCCTAATGAATTACACTTCTTTCTACTTTCTGTGAGCCTTGTGAGAGGATTCCAATTTCATCAGTGCTCATTATCTGTTTTTCTGATTGTAGCCTTACTAGTGAGTGTGTAACAGTTTCTTAGTATGGCTTTGGTTTGCATTTCCCTGGTGTCTAATAATGTTTAGCAGTTTTTCATGTTAGATTGGCCATTTATATATCTTCTTTGGGGAAATGTACATTTAGAACCTGTGCTTATTTGCTTCTTGGGTACCTGTTAGTATTGAGGTGTATATGTGTGTGTTTGTGTGTGTGGGTGTATRTATATATATATATATATATATATATATATATATATATGATCTATCTTAAGTATAAGATAAATTATTATAAATTAAGTATCAAATTATTTTTTAAAAATTTCTACCATTCTGCGAGTTATCTTTTTATTTTTATTATTGTCACCTCAAGCACATTTTTTTTTAATTTTGAGGAAATCTTGTAAACATTTTTTCTTTCATCATTTTGTTGTCCTATCTAAGGTCACAGAGAGTTACTTTTATATTTTCTTCCAAGTATTTGATAACTTTTAACTTTTTTTTTAAAGAGAGATTTTTTTAATATTTAGTTTTCGGTGGACAACATCTTTATTTTTATGTGGTGCTGGGGATCAAACCCAGCACCCGGTGCATGCCAGGCGAGCACGCTACCGCTTGAGCCACATCCCCAGCCCTAATTTTAACTTCTAAATTGATTTATATGAAGATTTTTTTATTAATTTATCTGTACAGTATAAGAATTTGCCAAATTCATTTTTTAGCATATAGCTATATGGTTTCCCAGCAGTTTGTTGAAGAATATTACTCTTCATTGAATTTCCATGATGTTTATCAAAAATTAAATTACCAATGAAAAATTAAATTACAAATGATTTCTGAAATCTAAATTGTATCAGTATTATCTGTGTCTATCATGCTTTTTCTCCACAATCTTCATTACAATGGACTTGTAGGAGTTTTAAAATCTGGAAGGCAATGTCCTCCAATATTATGCTTCTTTAAGATTGTTTTGGTTATTCGGGTTGAGTATTAGTTTAGCTATTCTAAACTTTCATATGAATATTAATGTAAACTTGTCAATTTCTGCAAAGGGACAGCTGGAACTTTGAAGAGGATTGATTCATATATAGATCAATTTAGGGAGTGCTTCTACCTTTATATCAGGTCTTCTGATCCATGAGATAACTTTCCATTTATTTAGAAATTCTCTAATTTCATATAATGCTTTGTATTTTTTGGTATACAAGATTTGCCCTTATTTTAAAAAAATTTCTAAAAATTTATTCTTTCTGATGTTATTATAGTGAAGTAGTTTGCCAGATGCCCTTTAAATCAATTTTCATTTCTAGCATATGGTTCATCCTAGATTATATTGCTTGCTTTCTTGAGAATATGTATTTAGCTGATGTTGGGTAAAGGATTTTAATGATGAATTTGCTGTCTAGTTAATTTAGAATGGTATTTTCAAATGTTTTGCTTCTGTTTTCTATATGTTATATTATTGATTGCAGTATATTTAAATTTCCAATTACTATTATCGAATCACCTATTTTCCATTCATTTATTTCAGATCAGTCTCATGTATTTTGGGACTCTATTATTGAGATACAATATATATAAAATTATTGTATCTTTCTGAAGTATTAAACATTTAATCATAATAAAGTGCTCTTTCTCCAGCAACCTTTGTTTTGATTCTAATATGCCAAATACTGATAAAGACACATCAGTGTTCTCATGGTTGCTGTTTACATGATATGTATTTTTCTTTCTTTCAAACTATGTTTCTTTGAATATAAGTCATGTCTCCTGTAGATATATATATATATATTATATATATATATATATTATATATATATATATATATATATATATATATATATATGTTGGATCTCATTTCTATTGCTATTATAATCCAGATGGACAATCCATGCCCTTTTATAGGACTTTTAAAATAAAATCACACTTAATTGTATCATTGATAAAGTTTGTATTTGAGGCTGAGTTGTGCCCAACAAATTAATTTTAAAAAACAACCCTCAGTACCTTCAGAATTTGACTGTATTTGGATATAGGATTTTTGAAGACATAATTATCCTGTATATTTTGTTTACACCTCATTATAAATAAGGCCAGAGCCAGTTCATAAACTAACATTTACACTATTTGGGTGGAGTTCTAAAAGTGTCAAGGCGCTAGCAAGAGCATGCTCTAGTGTCTTACAGTCATCTCCATCACAACCACCAAAGCATTGGCAGTGGACATAGTCAATGCAGAAGACAGCACATGGGAAGAAATATATTTTTTTATTCTTGCAGGGATTCACAGACTGGGGTAGGGAAAGGTACTGAAGGTGAGGGGAACAAATTCAGCAGGGAACAGAGGGTATTGTTTGGATGGGTCTTGTTTAATTTTTGACTTTATGGTAATTTCAGGAACTTTAGCTGTTAAACTTGCAAACAAAGGACATATGAGCCTCACAATTGGTATCCTTCCATAACTTGAATCCTGTAAACCAATAAGAAGAGTTAGCCTGGGAGAATCAGAAAAAGTGTAACCCACCCAACTCCTTTCCTGACTCTCGGACTCAGGAGAAGGAACCAAGGGGAAGGATGATTCCATTTCCTGGATGAGGAGCTCTGCTTCCTTTATCCCCACAATCCCAGTCTTTTCCCAGAGCTAATCAGCAGAAGAGGATGGACGACAACCAATGTGTGGATTCTCTGCCTCTCACCTGATTTTGCAGTCAAGCTTACACAGTAGCCACGGTTAGCAATGTTTGGGGATCCAGGGGCCCAGGCTTTGTAGGTATACAGGGACCCACTGCTCCAGTGCCAAAGGTGGGTCTAGTGGGAAAAGACCAGATATTCAGAAGTTAACTCAGAAAGAGAAATACCTACCATGTGTGGACACTCAGAAATGGGCCAAGATATATGACAAAATAAAACTCATCCTCTTCCTCAATATCGAATCCTTTCCTCTGCTCTAGCTCTAAGCTTATCCTTTCTTGGAATATCCAACATCTCCCCTTGCCTCTACAAATAACAAGTGTTCTGAATTTCATAGAGCTCCCCCTAAAAGTTACAGAAAGTGGTTGCTGATATTTCCCTTCCTACAACTCTCATAATTTGGGATAAATTCGCCATTGCATATCTTGTTTAGTGTAACACCAGATTCCCCAAATGCCAGTCATAGATTCTCTTCTACTAGTCTTTTTATCCATATAGTCTGAAAGGGCTCTGTTCTAAAACAAATAACAAAGTAGGTAAGAGAATGACAGAATCCATGAATGCCTGGAACACCCAGGAAATCGAGTCTCAGCTCTTTCCAATGGTCTTCTAAACTCCTCATGCATTATAGGAGCCTGACAGAGATTGATTTTTTAAGGAAATTATACAAGCTGGTTCTTGAGGTGTCCGACTTAGTTCTGCCCATTTGCTCTCAAACGTGATCATTAGGAGAAAAAAATCAGTTTGCAGACTGACCTTTTTGGGGTCATGGAGGCCAATCCACACACTGGAGTCTGTAGTACCACTCTCCTTAATCATTGAAGCCACGAAGTTGCCCTCAGACTGGGTGAGCACAGATACCAGGTGGCCTGCATGTGTGTTCTGACAGAAGAGCTGCAGGGGATAGAGGGGAGAGAAAATGGAGTTCTCAGTGGAAGAGCAAGATTTGAGCAGTATACTGGGGTCCTCCTCCCAAGGGATGTGGCAGAAAAAGGACAATACAGAAAGGGTTCCTGATGATGCTGTCACTGACCACCCGCAGCCCTGTACTGGGAAGGTACAAGGTGGTAGGACCATGCAGAAGGGAATATTTCAGATGAGTTATCAGGTGAGAAAGTCATCAGTCTTATATCTCACTGAAGCCACCAAGAGCACCAGAAAATAGCAAATGCCTCTGTATTTGTGTGCATCCCCCTCCTAACTTTCTCTCCTCACATACATCTGCTTCAATCCAGGTCAAACGGTCTTCATAAAAGTAGTAGCAGTGGGAGCCATATGAATGGGTGCCTTCAGGGCAGCTGATATGGTGAATGGGGTGGTGTGCCTCATAATCCTGACCTGGAAAAGAAGAAGCAATTAAAGGAGATTAACAAAGGCAGGGCAAAGACTGGAAGGTGAGGGTCGGAGCTTTTGAGGTTCCTTTATAAGAATATGAACATACAGTGCTGCAGGCACAGAGTAGCTGCCTACTTCTCTCCTCTTGCATCCTAGCTCCTTCTTTATCAGGCTTAATTTCCTTAAGACAAGACCTCTCAAGGAACTGGCTGATGATTTTCCCCCTTCTTTTGTGGGGCTCTGGCTTCTACTTATCAAGCCTCTCGGCTTTCCTTACACAAGTCTCCTGTCTGTTCTCGATCATGTTAATGACCCCTCTTTTGCACATAGACCTCCCTGGCCCTGCCAATAAGATGAACTAATTTTCCAGCTACGGTGGTCATGCAAAAGGTAATTCTAAATTCTTTCTCAAACTCCCTAACAAGGTAAGAGTGCCTGAATGGGGTTAAAGCAGCAATAATGATCATTGATAAATAACCTCTTATGTTGACTCCATCTTTTCCAGGTAGTGGGTGACTGGGGAGCTGGGAGAGACGTAAGGTCCCTGGTTGTAGTGGGCATGAGCGTGAAAGCTTACCTTGGCTCAGAGACAGGAACATCAGGCATGTGATCAGCATCAAGCATGAGCTGGTCTGAGCCATATTGAGAAGCAGAGTGTCTCCTACTTAAGGAGCAAATCTACAATCTCTATTAAAGAAAACAGGAAAGAGGGTTCTAGAGGTGGAGATCCAAAGCACCTATTATCTTTTTCAACCCCCCCCCCCAAAATTCGTGAAAGCAGGAAGACCCCCCTGAGATACCCATACCTTCAAATACTTCAAGAGTTTATGCATTATACAGACCAAGTAACTGAAAGACAGCTCTGACTATGGCTAAGGCTGATTCAGTACTTCTAGAAGTTTAGGTTTTTGTACAAAAAAACACCCTGTTATCTTCCCCAAGATGTTAAGTGGAGCAGGCTGTTTTAGAAGACCTCCATTTACCTGTTGGCTGGGTCTGAAGTGTGCGATCAGGCCAGTCAATGATAGGTCCTTTAGAGCAGGATCTGAGGAAAGAGCAGCATTATGAGCAAAGAAAGGGACAAGGAGTGTCACAGTATCTACATAGGGCCATGTCACACTTCCTGGCATCATGAGTACCCTCCTTTCTGGTGTACTCTGGGAATGGTTACAGATGAGGTCCCCCTTCCCATAAAGAAGTTGGCAAATGTTCTAAATTTCTCCTTCCCTAGCAACCAGATGCCCAGTTCCCATGGCCCTGGAAATCACAAGGACTAATGAGACGGGGAGGGCATCAGGAAGAGGGAACAAGAGTGTGTGAGCCTGGAGCAGGCCAATCTGCAGGAGTCAGGGACAGGGGAGGCAGTAGGACAAGAGCATTCTTGATGAGAAGTGGGTAAAGTAGTTTAAAAATCAAGTACATGTTTGACTTGTCCAGCATCATACTGTGAAAGAAAAGGTGGCAAAACAACTCTTTTCTAGTTTTTTTTTTCCTCTCCTTTTTTCCTTATCTTTTTAACATTGTGCTCTTCTCTTTCTTGTCTCTGAATGTCTACCACTTGCAGATTCCTGTTCAGGCCCTGTTTTGTCAGCCCTTCTGCCATGTCAGTTTCCTGTATAGCCCTGTTATCTTCCTGCACTCTCAAAACCATGCAATCAGTTGAATATTGACATCTTGAAAGCAGCTAGAAAACTCATGCTGTTCTTCTGTTAAGTACACTCTAAGATCAATCAAAGTCTTTTTTTACCTGCACCAGGTCATCAAAGTACTTTCATAGAATCTCCCTAATTAGACCTGCCCTCAGATTCTGACATCTGCTAAAATTTCCTATTGGTTATTTTAAACTTTAATATTTTTACTATTTTTATAATTAAAGAAAGCAACAAGTTCAGACCTGGGAACCCTTCTCCAGAAAGTTTTCCCTTAAGCATGGACTGAGATAGGCTTCAGATATACCAGAAGATGGCTTAAAATCTACTAAGATTTTAGCATTATCTAGTCCTTGGTCCTTAGAGAGGGTAATTATGACTCACAGAAGGTCCAGGCTATGCCTCATATGCTTCTTCCCCTGGAAAACTAGTGAATTAGTTTAACTTTGCTGTGTTTCAAATTTTCACTCTCATGCAGGTTATTGACTAAACTCAAGTTTCTTTCCATTGTACAGTGACAACATTGAGGTTCCCCCTTTCCTCACTGGCTGTTAGCTTAGGTGTCAGTAACCTGCATTCCTTGGCAAAAGGCCATCTCCATTCTTCTGAACCATCAATGGGACCATGAATCATTTTGCTACTTTAAATTTTATGACTTCCCTTTGTGCCATCAGTCAAAGAAAATTCTCAGATTTTAGAGGGTTCATGTAATTAGATGGCTCCACCATAAAAATATCCTCAATATCTCCATTTTATTGAGTCCAAATCAACTGATTAGTGACTTCAATTGCATCTTCAAGAATCCCTTTGCCAAAGAGTCTAAAGAACTTGAGACCTGAAAATTTTCTTCTGTGGCATTGCATGTCCTTGTCCCTTCATCTAATTCTCCTTTTCTTCATCCAACCATCAGTTTCAAGGACTTAAACTTATGACCCCTTCCTTTTGATATCTTGAGTAAATCCAGATTTTTCAAGTTATCCCAGCTAATCCTTATTCTTGACAGAAGCTGAATGAAAACCCACATTTCCATCCAAAAGTGCTATGAGAAATTCTACCCTTCTAGTCTAAGTCAGAATGGTTCTTAGGAAGATTCTCAACCAAGCATTTTCACATAAAGTCATGTTGCTGGAGTATTTCTTGACTTTCTTTCAATTTCTAGTGCACTGAATTGGACATGACTGGATTTTATGTTGCTTAGCTCAACTACATCCATGATATCTCCCCATCTCCAACTCTCAGAGACTGGCTAGCTGAGTAAGGCCTCTCTTGAGAAGCCTCTACCCTTCTCAGTATGGAATCATTATCTAAGCCTTGACTGCCCTTCTGTCTCTGTGGTATATACCTCTTGATTTGATTTGTTTCATTATTCAGGGTTTAGAAGGACAGGTAGAATTATAGAGCAGAGATATATTTTTTTTTGTTTGTTTTTCTCATCATTTTTTCCCTGCTTACATTTTATTGCCTGCTTTCAGCAACTTTTTTTAAAATTTTGTTCTTTTTAGATATTTATGGCAGTATATTTTGACATATTTATACCATACATGGAGTACATCGTATGCTAATTAGGATCCTAATTGCTCTGATTAGAGTTTCAAGGATCATGTTGAATAGAAGTGGTGAAAGATCCCTGACTTGTTCTAGTTTATAGAGGAATGCTTTCAGTTTCTCTATTTGCAATGATATTGGCCTTGGGTTTAACATACATAGCTTTTATAAGTTTGAGGTATATTTCTACTATACCTAGTTTTACTAGTGTTTTGAACATGAATGGGTTCTATATTTTGTCAAGTGCTTTTTCTGGATATATTGAGATAATCATGTTATTTTCACCTTTAAATCTATTGATGTGGTGTATTACATATATTGACTTTCATATGTTGAAACAACCTTGCATTCCTGGGATGAAATTCACTTGATCATGGTGCACTATCTTTTCAACATGGTTTTGTATGTGAGTTTTGTGCAGGATACAATATAGAGATTAAATTTCCATCTACTATATATGGATTTCCTGTTTTCCCAGCATCATTTGTTGAAAAGACTATTTTTTTCTCCAATGTATATTTATGGTGCCTTTGTCTAGTATGAGATAATTAATAAATTTATAAAATTATTTATAATTTATTATAAAAATAAATTTAAAAAATAAATAGTTATTTATTTTTTGTAAGTAGTTGGACACAATACCTTTATTTTGTTTATTTTTATGTGGTGCTGAGGATCAAACCCAGGGCCTCGCCCATGCTAGATGAGAGCTCTACCACTGAGCCACAATCCCAGCCCCGAGATAACTATGTGGGTATGTCTTTAATTCCATTCCATTATGATCTCATAGAATACAAAAAAATATAGACAGTATCTGCATTCTATTTGGTAAGAGTTGCTTTCTGGCCTAAGCCAGATAATAATAATAATCCTGGTCTATTTTAGAAAATAATCCATGTGCTCCTGAGCAGAAAGTGTATTCAGTCATTATGGATGGATGAAATAGTCTATAATTATCTGCTAAGTCTAAATTATTAATTGTATTTTTTGGTTCTATAGTTTGTTTAGTTTTTCTTTGGAAATCTACCCAGTAATGTTAGAGGCATGTTAAATTCACCCAGTAATATTCTTTTGTATTTTTTCCCCATTCTTTTACCTTCAGTCTGTGGATGTCTTTACCTATAAAGTTGAGTCTCTTGGAGGCAACAAATTGTTGGGTCTTGTTTTTAATCCAATCTTCTAGTCTATTTGGAATCAACCATTTACATTCAATGTTATTATTGAGAAATGGTTTTATTCCCATTTTGATTTATTTCTGGTTTCTAATTCAAATTAGTTTCTTCTTTGATAGTGATTATTCTTCTAGTGTAGTTCCTCCCATTGCTGGTTTTTAGTTTTTTTTCTCTCTTCATAAAATATTGAGTATGATTTTAGTGCAGGCTTTCTAGTTATGAATTCTTTTAACTTTGTTTATTGTGAAACATTTTTATTTCATCATGGAATCTAAAGCTTAATTTTTTGGGTATAGTATTCTTGGTCTCCATCCATTTTGTTTCAGAGTTTGGTATATGTTGTTCTGAAGCCTCCTAGCTTTGAGGGTCTGGGTTGAGAAATAAGCTGAAATCCAGATTGGTTTTCCTCCAAATATGACCTGTAATTTTTTCTTGTGTGGTTCTTTGTAGTTTTGTATATTTGAGAGATCATGTAAGCCTCCTATATTTGATTTTCCATTTTATTCTTAATATTTGGCAAATTTATTGATATTATTTCATTGAAAAGATTGTTCATTCTTTGAATTTTATTTCTTAGTCTTCATCTATATTTGGTCTTTTCTTATATTTGGTCTTTTTGTGTTATCCTATATTTTTTTAAATTCTCTTCATGGTCTCTTAACATCTTTTCTCCACAATCAATTTTATTTTCAAGGTTATATATTTTGTCTTTGTTGCCTGAAACTCAATTGTTCTAGTCTATTAGTGATACTTCCCCATTAAATTTTTAATTTGGTTTATTGATGCCTTCATCTTGAGGATTTTCATTTTATATTTTTTTTAGAATCTCATTGATTTTTTGCTTCCTATATTTTCTAATTTCACTCCTTACATGATATTTTACCTAGCAGATCAGTTTGACTAGTAACTTTCTAAACTCCTTCTCTCACATTTCTTCAACTGGGTTGTTGGTGGGTTCTGATACTAATATATTTTGGTTTATTTGGGACAATAAGTCCTCTTGCTTTTTCATGTTATTTGTGTGTCTACCCACCTAAAAGTATGGATCTAAGGCAGTGGAGTTTCTACTCTGAATTTAGAGTATCTATGAAGTTTCCCAGTACCTCACAATTTGGGGGGAGACAAATATTAACCACCAAGGCAAATGAGATATAGCATCAAGCCAAATAATTCCCACTATGACATGTATGATGTTGTCATAATAAACATAAATGATGTAATCAGCTGTTGCCCATGGTTACAGTTTTGAAAAGTAAACAGAAGAAATGTAGGATG